TTGTAATCATTCTATTGAAATAAATACGTATAACCAATTTATTATTATTAGTTAGATACAAATTTGTAATTGATGTAAATTTACATAGATGAGGTTCTGTTTCTCCTCGGTTCTGTACCCTTTACTTAGGGGGCTGATCCTGGACATTTTAAAGAGAGATCAAATACCTTTTTTCTTTTTTTATTACTGGTCGAAAGGGATGGCTTCCTCCAAAATATAGCGCAGCAGATGGGGTTAATGTATTCATAGGCCTTTACTAAAAGCAATTTAGATTTTATTTTACATACATTTTAAATAAGCGAACTTCGTTTCTGCGAATACGCTGTTCGTTTCTCGGAGTAGGTTGTTCGTTTCTAGGAGTAGGGTTTTCGTTTCTGCGAGTAGGTTGTTCGTTTCTGGGAGTAGGTTGTTCGTTTCTGCGAATACGCTGTCCGTTTCTGCGCGTAGGTTGTTCGTTTCTGTGAGTAGGTTGTTCGTTTGTAACTGTAAATTTGGCGGCGATTGCCTTCCATAGACAAGGACACAAGTGAAATGCACGGTAAAACCCGTAAACGTAATGAAACAACAGGAGCATTAATTCACACCATTTTGGTCTACTTACCACTTTTTGATCGGTTGTCGTTAATGTAGTTTGAGCAATGCCCTTTCCCCAGACTCATCACACGAGCCTGGCCTCCTGTACGAACTCGAGTGACCAAGCTTCCCACATTACGCAGTACACACGAATACATGCTTTTGGTACAGTTTCAGTGCTAACAAAATTACGGTAATAAATACAGTCCGCCTTCTTTTCGAACAACACTAAGCCCAAATCAGTTTATCGCCTATCTACAGGCCTAGGCCCACTTCTCGAACTTCTATCTTCACGAAACCGCGGCATACAGAGCCCACTACAGTTTAATAGCAGTAAGTATGGCATGTAAGTATGACACTCTAGTCTTTGGGATGGTCCTCGGTGGATATCCTTTCATTATCTTGTATACATTGGTGGCGTGATTGCGCTCTGTATGGTGACGTATTTGCATTTGATTGTTTATGCCCCACAAAAAAAAATTATTAGTTTATCACCCCCTCCCTCATCACTTTTGGGGAAATTATGATTTTTTTTTTAATCAACATAAACACACACATATGTATATATGTGTATATATGTGTATATATATATACAAGTTTGAAAGGCAAATGGGAAAAACCCATTAAACAGCAAACGGCCATATAATGCAAAACAATTTAAAATTAAAATTAAAACGGAACAGTAGAGAAAATCCGATCAGAATGACAAAATAATCTAAGCATCCACTGGAAGGAATCTCAAAATCTGCAGACGGATCCGTTTCGGCCTTGCAGGCCCCATCATGCATGTATATGTATATATGTATATATGTCTATGTATGTATGTATATAATATATGTGTATATATATATGTGTGTATATATATGTATATGTATATATGTATATATGTCTATGTATGTATGTATATAATATATGTGTATATATATATGTGTGTATATATATGTATATATATAT